GATGATCTTATGCGAATTGATTTTGTTGTTGTTGATGTCCCAGTTAGATACAGGAGTTAAATGCTCATGCTATATTTTGGTTGCATTTTGTGAGTGAATGAAAATGTAACTGGTTGTGTAAAATAGGTACAAAACATCTTAATATCGATATATCAGTCGCAGGCCCCTGGATGTTATCAAATGTTATCAAGTTTTGAGGTTCCGGCAAATATCATATTGCTGGTTAAGATAATTAATGTCAGATTCTATCTTAATAAAACGACCGATTTACATCTCTACTAATACACACTAATGGCGCTTTTCCACTGCGTGGTACGACTCGGCTCGGCTCAGTACGGCACGGCACGGTTTGCGTTTCCACTGCAGTTCAGTACCGCTTTAGAGTGGGCGGGATTATTCACATGTCGTTATAGTTGCGCTGCCTCTACTGCCGCGACTCCTAAAAAAAATTTTCATTCCGCGACGCCCCATCAAGTTCTCGCTGGATCCGCTCCTCTGCTATCAACGAGAGGAACGTCTGTTCTTCCGCAACAGACAACAAAACTTTTTGGTTGTTAAAAAAGGTGTGCTTGTTCAAAACAGTTGTGTTCGATCCTTCGCTGGGTGTGCTGATTTAAATCTAGCGGTTCTGTTGTGTTTGTGTCTCAAGTTCAGTGACGCAGGTAGTGACGATTCTCTCCGGCCAATCCGTGATCAGCAAAGTTTACACGTCACGTTTTAGTAACGGTACGGTTAAGTAACGGTGGTACTAAAAAAAGTACCAGGTAATGTATCCAGTGGAAACCCCCCCAAAAGTGAACCGTACCGAGCCGTACCATGCAGTGGGAAAGCGCCATTACTGTGTGCTGTAGCACTACCAATAAATCATGATTCTAACCCTGACCTCCAGACCAAAATTGGTCAGACAGTGATTAATTTTTTCAGAATCATTCAAATATTGAGTTTTTGAGAAGTTTTGCTTAAAGGTATAACATTTTAGTGCTCATAAACAGCTGTTAAAACGGAGTAGAGGCTTTGACTTGAAAACAATATTATCAGAAGGTCAATATGTCAAATCAGGTGTTAAATTTATGAGAGATCCGACTTTGCCTAACGAACGATAAAAATCACAGAGTCATATCTGAGGCTTGGCCCTGTAGCAACATCATAGCTACACGCTTACAACAGTTATGAAGACGATAGCAACACCTCGTCGAACTTCCAGAAACACTGTATCGTGTTGCACTGGCACTTTCATTGGAAAGCATAATATCTGGTTTATTCACATGCTGGTTGCCGTTCATGCTACTGATTAAAGCAGCTTCGCAGAAGGTGTTTGGAGTAATGGGATGCATGCAGAGGGAAAAGCATCTCCGTGTGGGCGTATGGAGTGCTTCTGGAGGAGATGATTCTTACATTAGAGGCACGGACTCGGGCTGTTTCCTCTGGGACTGCAGTGTGTGTTGAGTTGAGCGTGTAACGTGGGGGTTGGTGAGCGTGAGGTGGGGTGTGCGTGTTTATAATGTGTTAATGCAGCATCAACTATTGTTCTGATCACACACCACCGCAGCTCTGGCCTCTGTTGTTGATGCGGTCGGTCTTTTCTTTGAAATTCAAAATGTAAGTGAGAATTATTCAGATTCAGGCTTTTTGATGTGTTGAAAACAGTACATCTAGGATTCTTTCTACGAAGCCTGTATTTATAATGCATTATAAGGGTATTCGTTGTAATGCTTGCATAATGCCTTATATATATATATATATAAAAAGTAACACTTTACAGTAAGGTCCCATTAGTTAATGCATTGACTAACAATGAGCAAAAACACTTGTTACAATTTGTTAATGTTAGTTAATAAAAATACAACTGTTCATTGTTAGTTTATGTTAGGTCAGATCTAGAGATGTAACGATTAACCACGAGCCGGTTGAAAATCAATTCAAATACGTGACGATTCAAATCGGTTGAGATGCTAAACAAATCGCGATTCATTTAGGGGTAGTTTATATGAATGCATGTCTGAGGGGAACTTACTGTCTTTAAAAAAGTTTAGATGGTATTTTTTTCTTTTCATCTTGCATCTGTATAATGCATATTAAAGTTCATAAGTGCAGCGCTGCTTTGTTTACAGCGGAAACCAAGAAAACGCTTTAAGCGCCACCTGCTGGCAGAGAGTGAATCTGCGTCTCGTTCAGCTCGTCGGCTGTTTCGGTTTCATGCAGATATTTTCCATGCATAGTTTCACAAAACTGAAGTCAAACCATTCTGTTTTTGCTTCAAATTTCAAAATTATACAATCTAATTTAGATTAAGAACTGCTCATGGTGCATGTATGCAGCATCTTTGTTTGGATCAAGATTAAAATGCAGTGGTTGCCTCAAATTTTAAACGGAAAGAACAGACAAAGCCTTATTTTGTTTATATGAAGAGATTTATTTTATTTGTGTTACTTATTTATTTGATTTGGGGGCTTGTTTTAAAATTTCAATTTAGTTTTGTTATTTACATTATATTTAAATTTTGTTATTTAGCAGACGCTTTTGTCCAAAGCGACTTACAAATGAAGAGAATAGAAGCAATCAAAACTAACAAAAGAGCAATAATATGCAAGTGTTATATTAGTATATTATTAGTGTTATATTTCAATTTCACAAAGAAATGTGCAGCATTTTGTCCAAGCAATAATAAAAGGACACATTTAATTTATAATTTCTTGAATCTCATTTTGTTAAATAACAAATCGTGTATCGAATCGTGAGATCCCTAGTCAGATCCATTCAATAATATTAACAGATACAACTTTTGATTTATTAATGTATTAATACATCTTGAAATTAAGTAACATTATTAAATGCTTTAGAAGTATTTTAACTAAGATGAATACTTTAGAAGTATTTTCATTGTTAGTTCGTATTAACTGATGGAACCTTAATGTAAAATCTACAATGGTGTCATTTTATGAATAATTGTAACAACATAATTAGTGTTGTCAAGATACCAGAATTATGATTTGATATAACTAAAATATCTCAATACAGATAGTGAATGGATAGCAAAAACCTAAAACAACAGGAAAATTCTTAGTTATTAATTTAATACTTGCAATAAAAAAAAAAACTGTTACCAGTGTGTACTTATTTCACAATACGATTAATTTTATTTCATGACAACATAATATATCTCAAAATTGTTATTTTTGTTACTTTGTTATTATAGATGAAAGAAGAATGCAAACTATTACTTTTTTATAACGGACAAACAGGCATTATAAATATTATGACCACATTATAAAGCCTTTGGACGTTTATTTGCCACTTTACACACACAATATTATGCAGATCTTAAACAATGTCTAGATCTGATACTTATAATACATTATAACTATGGAAACTATAATCCATTGTATCTTAAGTTGATATAATGTGTTCATTGTGTGTTATAACTCTTAATAGTTAGATCCACAAATAGGTAAGAATTGTTATAACTGTCGTTATTTGATTATTTATGAGATTTTTTTATAAGGCATAATATAATGCATGCATTATGATGCCTTAAAAATACCATTATAAATACAGGCTTCATACAAAGCATGACTTTTTTTTGTTATGTTTGTAGAAACAACCACAGTTCAGATTTACTCTAGACACCGGTGACATTATTGGTTGTGAGAATAGATAGCTGTATTTCCTGTAGTCACCTTATGGCCTAGATCCCTCTAGCAATTTGGCCTAAATAATATTTTAAAATGTGTGTGTTTGCCAAGACACAATCACATATATTTGGGTCAAAGACTTTAAGATGTCCACATCAAAAGAAATTGACAAAAGTGATTATATGTCCATAGAAAGCACATTAAATGTAAGTAAAGTGTCTACTTTTATGGTTTCAAATAAGTTTTTGGAGAATAAAATTTAATAATTTGGTTGAAATAATGTTACATTGTCATTCAGTGTAACACTATGTATGTAAAAATTCAAACAACATGCTTATTCTGACTTGTACATATTAAAATATATAAAAGAATAAGGGAGCATATTAAATTTTATTGTGTTTTAAAAGAGTAAAACATTCTTACTGACAAATGGGCAAAACCTAGGATAGTGGCAAATTTAAAAAAATTTAAAATTACAACTAATTAGTATTTGGGGTGAAGGTAATTAGTCTTTTACTATGTCATAAATTACAATTACAAAATTGCAATTAAATTAAACAGAAAACTTTTTAAATTTTTTGGGGGGAAAACAACAACAATTTAAAGCAGTATTACACTTATTGTTTTTATGCTTAAACCCTTTTTCGTCTTTGACCCATTTATATATTTTGAAGAACGTTGGGGTCCAAACAACACTGGACCCCCATTGACGTTTAATGACAAAAATGATACTGATGCATTCTTCAAAATGTCGTCTTTTGTGTTTCCACAGGTTTGGAACAACATGAAAAAAATGACATTTTTAGTTGAAAAACATTTAAGTATTAATGTTTGGCATGTAACTTTTCCCCACACCATTTGTGTAACAGTCATGAATGATACCTCAACTCATATCTACAGGTGCATCTCAATAAATTAGAATGTCGTGGAAAAGTTCATTTATTTCAGTAATTCAACTCAAATTGTGAAACTCGTGTATTAAATAAATTCAATGCACACAGACTGAAGTAGTTTAAGTCTTTGGTTCTTTTAATTGTGATGATTTTGGCTCACATTTCACAAAAACCCACCAATTCACTATCTCAACAAATTAAAATATTTCATACTTCATAAAAACATTTTTAGTGAATTGGTGGCCGTCTGGAAAGTATGTTCATTTACTGTACATGCACTCAATACTTGGTAGGGGCTCCTTTTGCTTTAATTACTGCTATGCAAGACCTTAGCTATCACCCAGAACTAAAATTCTCTACTCTGCACTAAAACTCTACCCTAGCAACCACATAGCAATACACTGGAAGCCAAAGCAGGCAAGCCCTTAAAAACGAGTTTTAAATATATTCAGTGACTACGTTGTTTCACTCACAGGGCCTTTTCACACGACTGGGTTGTCCGGCCCGCAGCACACTTTTAAGATGGATGCTAGAGATTACTTCATTGAGGACGGGGAATGCCATAGCAACAACTCACAGGAACCTGAAGAGCAAGACAGCACAAGTGGTGAGACACACAGCTTCAGAGGCAACTCACGACTGCATGTCTGTCTGTGAATTTATTTCTATATTTGCTTACTGCTAATAAAACATTAAAAACAAGGAAGACAGCTGTGATTGTTTTGTGATTGCAGTGTTGAGTCTTAGAAAAGAAAAGCAAGGTGACCTGTGATGGAGCCGTTGATAACATTACTTTTTTCCCCCTATGCTGCCAGACGACGGTGATAGTGATTTTGATAAAGATGACTCCTCAAATGCCTCTGCTGATGACAGCATGACGAGTAATAAGAGCAACCTCGGCCCCATACTACATGATGAAGTCAAGGAGGTGAGTGATGGAGGTTTAATGTAAGAAGTAGATTGTTGTGTGTTTCTTAAATTCTTCTGTCATGATTTGCATGACAGCATTGTCACAGACAACTCAAGTTACTTACTGTAAAATGCCTTGCAAAGAAAAAAAATCAGCCGTGTATCGTATCGTGAGGTACCATGTGATTCCCACCCCTACAATATATATGTTTATTTATTTATTTTTTTCAGTCAAACGTTACCTAGAAATTTATGAGATTCACACTTTCCAATTAACTGAATAAATTAAAGGGTTAGTTCACCCAAAAATGAAAATTTTGTCATTAATTACTCACCCTCGTGTTGATCCAAACCCGTAAGACCTTCGTTCATCTTCGGAACACAATTTAAGATATTAAATTCACGCGCGCATTCACGACAGTATGATGACGTCATCACGCCGGATCTGGTCCAGCGCCGCCACACGCTCGCGTCATGGTACTGTCGTGAACGCGCGTCCACAAGTGACGCAGTAGAGACGAAAATGTGGAATGAAGTCATTATTTTTGTTTTCTCTGCGCAAAAAGGTATTCTCGTAGCTTCGTAACTTTACAGTTGAACCACTGATGTTACAAGGACTACCTTGTCGATCATCTGGGTACTTTTTTGGACCTTGAACGTAGTACTTACCTTGCTGTCTATGGGAGGGTCAGAGAGCCCTCAGATTTAATCAAAAATATCTTAAATTGTGTTCCGAAAATGAACGAAGGTCTTACGGGTTTGAAACAACACAAGGGTGAGTAATTAATGACATAATTTTCAAGGACACTGAGTGTCGTTTTATTTACAAGTCTATGTGACTTCATTACATTTTTTAATTCAATTAAATTTTGTCATCCCACCTCACCGATTGTTGGCATCTTTAAGGGTTGACAGATATTTTTGTAGGGTGACTCATGGCTCTATAGCAACCCAGTTGACACAACAGTTGGAATGAGTCACAGCTTATGTATCCATTTGTCTGCCACACCACTCAAGTGCTGCGTAAGTCATCCACAGCTACAGTCATTAGCAGTTTCAGGGAATAGTCACTTGTGTGCAATCATACTATATGAAAAAAATATTACACTACATTTCAGACTGTAAGTCTTGTTACTCTAAACTTGGCTATCATTGTAACTGTTTGTTGTTGCATTGGTGTCTGTTAGGAGAACGAGGAGGGGACAGACCAGGGGAGCAGTTTTGGATGTCCTCTTTGTTCCCTGGAGTTCAATAGCCCAGATCAGCTTATCGCACACGTCTACCAGGTGAGGACACCACTACCTAAGCCTATTGTATCTTTTAGACTTTTTACACTCATAGACTCTTTCTATCTTGGGTGATCCAATCAAAGTGGACAGTGCTAAATACATGTGTACTGGGGTCCAAAATGTTTTGTGATCAGATCACTCAACTACATTCGGAGCTCATCAGTTATGTGCAGATTGTAAAGCACACCTAAAGGCCAGAATACACAACATGACTAAAACAATAGGCATCATACACTTGCTGACTTTGGGCATCATATAATAAACAAATGGGGATCACACACTAACTGAACACAACAAACTCGCACTTAGTGACAAATGAAAACAGTATGTATACTAAAATCAGCTCAAAACATGTTTTGTATCCTCGGACTGGATGGACTCCAAATCTGAAGCGAAAAAATTGTAGTCTGCATCAATCGTACACTTCCCGAATTTCTGTGAAATATGTCAGTGGCTCCCCAAAATTTGCAGTCTGGCTCTGTTTTTCGTTAAAAAATCTATGCAAAAGTTGCTTAACACATCCCAAGTTTAAAATGAAAATTCTTTCATCATTCACTCAATCGTTTGCCATTCCAAACCCGTAATATTTTCTTTCTTTCATGGAGAAATTATAAATGATGTACTAATCGCCCTTTTCAAATTATTAACAATGAATGGAGACTGCCTCAAATGTTAAGTCCATTTTTGCATGCTTTTTGAAACTTGAAATATCTAGTCCCTGTTGTAATTGCTTGGAAACAATGACCAGTGTATTATTAAAAAATGGTCTAGAAGACAAAGTCGTATGGGTTTGGAACAACAGAAAGTTGAGTGAATCATGACAATTTTCATTTTTAGACTGTTCCTTTAAGTCTCTTCATTTGAGAAGAATTTATGTATGAAATCTCTTTGTGTCTTATTGTCTATGTACAGCACACAGCTGTGGGTGGCAGTAAGAGTTATGTCTGTCCTGTTTGCGGAAGAGCTCTCAGTTCCCCAGGCTCTCTTGGTCGCCATCTTCTCATCCATTCAGAGGACCGACTGTCCAACTGTGCCGTATGTGGGGCTCACTTCACAGACACCAACAACTTCAACAGGTCAGCTCTTTACTCAAGACATGATTTTACTAGGATAATGTAATTCATTGTTGTTTCTAACTGTTTCCTGGTCTGAAATTTTAGGGAAAAGTTGAAGGAGTTCCTCGACACAAGCAGTATAGAGATCAACAGTGATGGTGAGGCCTGTGCCATGTCTGACTCTTTACCCAGAAGCACTATGACTAACCCAAACACAAGTCCTGGTCCTGGACTGACCTCATTGCCAGTTGGTCTTCTCCCTTCTGCACCTCCTCTTCACTCACTCTCTGATAGCCTTAATCCTCCAAACACAGGACTTCCACCTCTTCCAGACCTCATGAACCCTATGCCCGTGTACCCAGCTGGGGTTTTGTTGGTCTGCAACAGCTGTGTAGCCTACCAGCAGCTTGTGGATGCCCAGTCGCCGTCCATGCGGAAATGGGCCGTCCGTAGGAAGAACGAACCCGTAGGATTGCGGATGCAGCGGCTTGAACGTGAGCGAACGGCCAAGAAGACCAAGCGGGCATGTGAGTCACCAGAGGAGCGGGAGATGCGCCGCTTACGAGACCGTGAGGCAAAGCGGCAGCAAAGGATGCAGGAGACAGACGAACAACGGGCACGTCGTCTGCAGCGAGATCGGGAGGCCATGCGATTCAAGCGGGCCAACGAGACGCCCGAGAAGAGGCAGGCGCGGCTAATCCGTGAGAGGGAGGCCAAGAGGCTAAAGCGGCGCTTGGAGAAGATCGACCCATCGCTGAGAAACCAGATCGAGCATGACCCTGCTGCGATGGCTGCACTCACTGCTGATATGAGTCTATTCCAGTTTTCCTTTCCCATGTCTGTCCCTTCCATGGACAATGGACTGTTTATGAAGCTTCCCTAACAAGCACAGCTCCAAACACCTCTCAACCCAACATTTGAGAAGAATTTGCCATTCTTAAAGAATAACTATCTTGAACATAACTGTGATGAGAAGGTTATGGTCTTGCAGTTTCAAGGAGGTGCTCACCCTGACAGCGATTTGCAGTGATGTAGGCGCCAGATGTCTTTCATTTTCAAAGAGAGATTTGAGGCGACATGATAGACAATGAGTTGCAATGCAACAATGTTGACCAGAGTTCAACGTTATGCAGATAGGCAGCAACACACATGGAGACTACCAATTGGAGAGTAGACAGCGAAGTTCACATGTTCCGCTTCCTAATACAATTGGATATTGCAGTTGAGGACAGAAGTGGTTCTACAGGATAGACAAGACAGGCAATTGCACCCCTAAGGGTGGCGGATTAGAGTAGTCAACAGCAAGAAGAAATAAACTTCCTGAAAACTAGAGCTTGGCAATGTTTAGCAGGCTACAATGACATATTCGATAATCCCTCTAGGGGGCTTCATCCCTTTAACTAAGATCTCAGTAAAAAAATCAAAAGAAGAGCAGGCATCATGCAGATGATATTCCCATTTGGTAGTCAGAAGAGGAAAGCGGAGTCTGCGGCACCAGAGTCCCTTACAATCACAACCAGTCAACTAGGAACACCTACTAGCAACCAACAGCACGTCGACATGCCGACCTCCAGTGATTTAATTGCTGTCAGTGTGAACAACCCTTTATGGATCTCTGTAACATATTTGACTTACATAATTAACTGAACTTGTATAAGAAATTCCGACATTCACAGAAGGGCAAACATGTTACCCTCTCTGTAAGCATGTTTTAGGAGACTTGTCTACTTTGTTTTCAAGGCTCAGACTTTTAGCCGTCTTTCTTCAGAGCAGCGAGATTCTTCCAGAAGGAGGTTCTCGGTTTGTACACGGACTTACAGTGACAGGAGTGAGACGTGTAGCTACACTCCACACTCAGCCTACTCTTCAAATTTGCCAGTCTGAAAGGTTGGAGTTTACCTGCAACTATGGCTCACCTCCCAGGACCCTAGATTGGGTCACTACTAGCTCATACGCACAGAAGCAACTACCTCACCATGGGATCCTTGCATAGGAACAACAGGGACATGCAGGTCCACACACTGACTTACTGTTCCCTATGCCAACACATACTTTAGTCCAAGGGTGTCCAACCCTGCTCCTGGAGGGTTCATCCTCCAGAGTTCACCCCTGAACCATCTAATCAAGGTATTCAGGGTTACTTGAAACCCCCAGACTGGTTGTGTGTTGGAGCAAATTGGAGCTAAACTCTCCATGATGGGGGCTGTCCTAGACCAGGATTGGACACCCCTGGTATTATCATTGCTCTACATGTTCGCCGAAACGACAACACCTTATTTAAATGCTGTTTAAGTGCCGCTGACCCAAATGCTGAAATCTACATGGGCTTGCAGTCTTTGCTTATGCAGTTTTATGTTCACAAGGCCATAAGGTGCCCTACTTGTCACAAATTACAAGGATGGCACCTTTGCAGCCACTGTATACCTCAGTGCACCCTTTAGTTGAGCCTGGTGCGGACTTTGGAAACGGACTGCTACCCAAGAGTTTATGCGGCTTTATATCACTTAAGTGTGGACTTCAAGAAGGACTACAAGGGTTGAGGGTGCCATTTGGGACAAGGCCTCTTGTGGCGACTTTGTCCTTTTTTTAAAAGAGAAAGGTGCGGATGTACTGTTAAATACTAAAAGTATCTGTTTCAAAGCACATTCAGACACACTGCTCTGACCTCCGAAAGGCTTTATACCTTATCACAATGCTACATGGGTTGACATTTGTCTAGGAACTCAGGGATAAGGATGGCACCTTTGCAGCCACTGTATACCTCAGTGCACCCTTTAGTTGAGCCTGGTGCGGACTTTGGAAACTGACTGCTACCCAAGAGTTTATGCGGCTTTATATCACTTAAGTGTGGACTTCAAGAAGGACTACAAGGGCTGAGGGTGCCATTTGGGACAAGGCCTCTTGTGGCGACTTTGTCCTTTTTTAAAAGAGAAAGGTGCGGATGTACTGTTAAATACTAAAAGTATCTGTTTCAAAGCACATTCAGACACACTGCTCTGACCTCCGAAAGGCTTTATACCTTATCACAATGCTACATGGGTTGACATTTGTCTAGGAACTCAGGGATGGTGTGGATCACCGGCATCCTCACGACCTGAGAACGCAGAGGAGCAGGAGACCTCCTCTTCCTCATTATTATTTCTCTTGTGCAGACTGCTAACTCCTCACCTGAGCCAAAATGTCGATATGGATATTACACAACTCCATGATGTCTCAACTAACCAACCAGTCTCTGCTCTCTGCTGCTGTCACTGTACTGTATAATGCAGGGTTCCTCAAATCTTGCCCTGGAGGGCTCCGTAACCTCACCCACGATATCCATCCTTAGCTTTGGTTTCAGTTACTCCATTGATAGGACCGAGTTGATGTTGATGTATGCACATTCAGGAAGAGCAATGCAATTTTTACGATCAATTCCCTGAAATTCATTATAAAGCAGTTATTTCATACAGTAGCATCAAAGTTGTGGAAACCCATCCTGATGCAATGAAAAAAATCAAATGATTCGCTGTAGTCCAGAACAAGATGTTGGCAGGATGCATTGTCTATTTTGAAGGAAAAATATATATAAAAAGAGTATTTTCAAACATTAACCCTGTTTAGTCTGCATTATTCCTAAACTAGTATTTTTAGTGGTATGCATTGCCATGTGACATGTCATGTATTAAACAACCATTTTCTTTTACATGTCTGTGCATGTAAATCAGTAAACCCCTGGAAATGGAACTTGCATGTTATAAAATACATGTTCTAAATGCATTTATATAAAAGCTTTTCATTAAGGATTGGAGTTCAGTAATGACTTGCCTTTTTGTCAGTCTATATAGATATTTTCATGATAATGTTTACAAATCTAAAAGGCCAAAATTAATGAAACTTAATCAGTGACTAGAATAACTGATCACAACGCCAATTGGTCCTGTTCAGAAAGCCATGCTCTGTAATTGGCTAACCAGATTGAAAGCTCATGAAAAGCAGGAACAGAATGTGGAATAAACATTGATTTTACTGCTATGAGTGTTTCTGTCTTTCTCTCTAGAAAAAGTATATACATATGTAAAATGGGATTGAAAATCTGGTATTCAAAAATTATGAAAAAAATAAAAAATCAAGCATTTTCAGGAATGGTCTCAGACTTTCAGGCCCCACTGTAATAAAAAGATGCATTGTACTTGAATTTGGTCACAATACATTTTGATTCAATCATCTTAATTATTTTCAAAAGTATGCTGAAAACAAAAAAATATTTCACCCCTTTGTGGAACATAAAAAAAAGAGCAATACACAAAGTTATACATTCACAGACTCTAGGTTTGTATTTCAGATTTAAAAAATTAATGCATGATACATCGGGTATTTTTGTAATCATAATCTATTATTAATCTGCATTGAATTACTCCGGTTCGTTGGTGCACTTTTACAACTCCATTTAGAATTTATTACAATTACTAATTGAATGGAATGCATATTAAAGAAACAGACGTCAAGCCAGCATGTTAATATTATATAGATATATATTATATTGTGTTTACTTAACAAACATGATAAATGCAACGTTTCCAAGAAGTTAGCTGTAACAATAAAAATACAATATCTTTGTGTCCTTACAGAAAATTAAAACAGGAAAACAAAAAACAAAATAAAACAAAACAGCCCTATAAATAGTTCACAGAGAGGTACAAATATACAGTACAAATCTATTTTATTCAAAAAAGGGTACAAATAAAAACGCAACAAAATATAGTTATTAATGCTTTGTAAAGTTCAGGTAGGTGTAGGGTAGTCTAAGGGAGCACTTTGGGTAGACGACTCTAAGGCTTCTGAGAAGAATTAATACATATTGGTACGGCCATACGATATTAAAATGTACTATACAAAGTTTATACAACCTGGATTATACTTGAGGATTGAATATTACACATACATCATTGCATATATTTCGCAGATTTTATGCATTAAACAGACGCCATCTCTTTTAAAACTGGTCACACATCACATAAAAAGCAGTGTCACTTAGTGCCAAGAATTACAATGTCAGATTCGAGAGTATATAATGACTCCTTTAAAACCTTGAAACCGTTAGAAACCTGATTTCAGCCGACATTACGGACTCTGGCCTGCCGTGCCACCGAATTCTGTCTGGGATTTACACAAAACCACCATGTATTAGCTTCATAAAGCCTTCCAAAGCAATATATACATAAAAACAAAAAAAAATCAATTGTAAGCAATGATACCACTATAACACACTGAAACGTTACCGATACACAGAACTGCACACATTCATCCAGAACACAGACGGTTATCCTCGGCTGGATTCAGTCGTTCTCACACGTCACAAACTATGACATGTCAGCTCCAAAAACTCTCCAGTCGCACCGACAGTCAACAGGGAGACTAACTGGACTTCTGTCAAATATTTCCCAGGACTCTTAGCCTCAACTGCAGAGATTCTCGCTTTATACGCACCATCTTCTAACACAGACTCCAATGAATTTAGCTTTCACTCACTTCCTCAAACCACTTTAATGAGAAAAGCGCAAGTTCCAGTGATATTATTTAAAGCATACAACATGCATTTTATCTCAATAGTAATGCCCAATGAGAAAAGAATCTTTGTAATATTTCAAATACAAAATTTTTAAAGAAATCGTTTTTTTCTCTCTCTTAACATGCTTAGATTCTCCCCCCCCCATTTGATTTTGGGGCAAAATATGGTTTTGTCAGTGTTGGGGAGGAACTAGGTACATGTAACGGTGTTAAGTAACTAAATTACAAAATAAATGTAACCGTCATCCATTACAGTTACTGAGGAAAAAAAATAAGTGTAATTAAATTACAGTTACTTATGAAAATGTTAATTACAAAGGGGGTTACATCTAAATATATTCTGTAAAAAGCTAGGATATGTTGAATAATATTAATTTGTTGCTTTGCCTGTTTTTAATGTGCATGATGCCTCCTGCCATTTAAAGGCAGTTTGGTAAAGCAATGCTATTTTGATTGGTTCTCTCGTTTGAATTTGCAGTATTCCACCAATTCTATCAATCCACATTGCTGCTGAAAGCTTTAGGCTGCAAGCTGTCTGAGAGTTGATTAACGGATTGATTGTCTGAGAGTTGATTAACAGTTGAAAACATTCGCTAGCAATTTAGAAAAGTAATCAAATGTAATCAGTTACATTAATAAAGTATTGAAATAGTTACACTAATTACATTTGAAATAGGGTAACTCGTAATCTGTAGCCTATTACATTTCCAAAGTAACCTTCCCAACACTGGGTTTTGCGAGATTCAAACATCACACGCTTTCTCTACAAAGCACTGAGGAAGTGAAGGAAGATGTTTCCGAGCTAGAATCAGTGATGTCAACAGTGCCAAGCATCGGTCTTCACTTTTGCCCTACTAACAAGAGCAAAATATAAATAAAACATTAAAGATTTAGAACGTATGTTAAGCTTACATTTTGTTCAACAAAGATACACATTATGAGCTAGTCCCAAAATATCATCTTACAATCAGTAAGTGCAACGTCACTAATTGTTGTCAGTGAGCAATCCGAGCCACCTTTACAGAGGAGTCCACGGTCAATACAACTAGAAACGAATGAGACTTTGTCTCCATGCGAAATCGTATAACCTTGAAAAGCGGGGAGTCACTTGTGCGCATCGTTTACTAATGGTGCACATCTTAAGGCGTTATCGACAAGCTAATACTATACAAAACTTATCTTCATATCTGTACAAGCATACAAATGTTGGATGATTGTTTTACGTGGTTTCGAATGATTCAATATGACAGCGAAACATTTACCGTAATGTGAGGGAAATAAGTGCAGAACATTTCATTGCATCAATGTTACAAACGTCTATGTTACATGATTAGTTTAGGCTCTATGGAAGAACAACATGGGATTCCCTAAATGCAAAGAAGAAAAGGGCATCTACACACCAGATATACTCTAGAAATATCATCACTGAAGGAGGAAAAACAGGACCTGCCATGCAACCAAAACCTGAATCTGAACAACAACACACTCATTTGCGGGCTGGTTTGGTTGTGTTTTTGGAAGTATTTTGGAAAATAAATTCCCACTTTATTTCAACTCATTCAAAATGCTTTCTAACCATTAAACCGTACATTTATCTAGTGTGTAGCTGCCCTAATCATTACAGGGACATGAAATGCTTTGAAAGGGGACGCTGTACTTGACATGTATGCAAAGGTGAGGTAAGGACATGTTATGATTAATTTTCACACATCCGTAGAAGGAAGGAAATGCAGACGCATACCAACTATAGGAATGAAGCTTGTGCTTAACCCTTCTGTGCTGTTACCATTGAAGATAAACCTTTAAATTTACCCTGAATGATAAAAATAACAGTTTGAGAACATTTTCACATTCCCCCAGGAACTAAGGTCTGTGGTCCTCAAGATAAGCTTAAGATATGTTCACGTTTTATTCACCGACATAAAATACATCAAAAACACCCCCTTGTTTCGAAAAAAGTTGGTTGCTTAGAAATGGCTAAAGGGGACTACAGGTTTAGGTTCAGGGACTATAGGTTGTCTAGTACGTTAATTATTCTTTTCAAAATAAAGACTGAAAGAGTTTGTCAGAAGCTTAATGGTGGTGATGAAGTCATGTGACCATGGTGTAGTTAATTTATAGTCCGTTTACATCTGGCAATTGGATTTAAGCTTCAAAATTCATTAAAGTTGTGTTCATTTGTGAAGCTTATGATGAACAAAATGTGTAAGATTCATAAACTTTTGTTGGTCACAGAGATTATTTTCTGCAACAATCCAAAAGCGAATGGAAAAATCGTTTTGATGAATCAATTTGATGAAAACTTTCAGGTTGGCCTTCAAATACAAGTAATCACCGTAGCACTCCATCACAAATTTTCTATTGTAATTTCTCTAATTATAGTATTTAGGATGCCATGAAGTATCAAGCTGAATGGTTTACGTTTAGATATGATCAAAATGACCCTCAACAGCACAGTAGGGTTTTCAAGCCTGTGAGATATACAGTGGGTACGGAAAGTATTCAGACCCCCTTAAATTTTTCACTCTTTGTTATATTGTGAAGACATTAAGAGCAAAATGGAGACGTGCAAATCTCCCAGAGAACAAAGCTTAATAAGACAGACCAGAGTAAAGTTAAGACATTGGGAAGGCACAAACATAGCGTCAACTCTCCTTGCGCAGTGCACAGGATAGTAGCTCAGTTCTTAATGAAAGCGTACTCAGTCCATCTCCGCCATGAAGGATGCAGATTGGAGATTTCATCTCGACAAGAGATGGCTGGTAAGGCAGTGCATTTGAGAAGACAGAGAACAGTGCACCATTGCTAACAACAACAAAAAAAACATACAGCACCAAACAAGCGACACCATATAAACTTCGGCTTACGTGACTTGGTAGTGTGATAACTAATCGCTTAATCGCTACCATAAATGTCACAGAGCCTGTGGGTTCCTAGAAAAAACACAGAATGCATAACGATATTGAACGTGCAGCTGACTTCTGTGAACAGACCACAGACGAACTGGTGAGATTTGAGTATTGAAACTGCATTAGGGTGCTGACTGAGTCTCTACTGCATAGCTCATGCTAAAGCTGTATCGTTCTGCTGTTTTGAGTATTGCTTCTTGTCAAATCTAATACTTAAAATAATGGAACAGGTCTTAATTTTGAATAAAGCCATCATTCATATCATTTTTCCCTGTATGTGAAGAAACAACGTAATAACTTAAACCAGCTGGCTGACCAACTGGATTGAGCCCAGAAGACCAAATCGAGATGGTTTAAGCCATTTTTCCTGGTCGGGAAGATATTTGATTTGTGTCTGCAAGGCTTTAGATGACAATTGTGGCCCTTTTGGACAGTTCACACCAGGTTGAAAATGAAGTATAACTAAGTGTCCTCTGTGAACTTAAAGGGGTCCAAAGTGCCACAAAACGTTCTAGGACAAAGGGGACAGGAAGGAAGAAATAAGATGAACTAGATTTGAGACCAGATTATAAATAGCATGCAAGTGGGACTCCTTTTAAGAAGGAACAGGATGTCTTCAAACTAAATATTAACAGACGAAAAACAGATGATGCTTGTGAAATGCTTCATAAATGCAAACAACAAATGGATTTGAACCAATTTAAGGTGATCAAAACCAAATACTGTTATGCTCAAAATACACATTGCCATTTCTTTATTTCGTTTAAATCTGACTTGTTGGTAATGCCGAAAAACCAGGTGGGCTTATACCAGGGCCGTCGTCAATGGGGAACAAGAGGTTATGAGGCCCACTAAGTGCACCCTCATAATTAGTCATGAGTAGGGCTGTCACAAGTTCTTGATTAAATTTGAGGACTCCATTATAAAAAAAAATCCTCGATTGCATTTTGCCCATGTCGATTAACACGCAGAATACCGGAAGTGGCGCATAAAAGCATTATTAGAAACCATTTAAACATCATAATAAAGCATAGTGCTATTGTGAATTCACAAAGGCTGCGATTCAGTTAAATATATGTGCTGCGGGTTTAATATGAGCTTTATATTTGTGTAGGTTACGTGCATCTGCTGCTCCACATAAACAGTTATCATGTACATGCGCAGACCTGCTCAACCTCCATCTTTGCATATGCTGTGAGTCTGAGTTACTTATGACGTTCATCTGGGAACAGTGCACACCATTCTATCAGATTTATAAGGTAAATCATTTATAAACCTACGCCAGCACAGGAGAATACATCATCTTTCAACATCCTAAATGTTAACCGCTACTTCAAAATAAAAGTGTAAACCCTCGCTCTGAGTTTGCATGTCCACATATTCTTGTTCAAGAAATGACAGTGGCTGTAGCATTTCTATCATAAAGAAGTGACCAAAAATGTAAGATTAATTGGACAATTCACGCCATATCGTAATTACCATGATTACAAGATACCAATAAATAATAATACCAATAAATATTACAACTTGTACCACCTGACCACCTCAGATTCATTAGGCGCTATGTTTAGGCATTGATAGTGCAATGAATGCAGCAAATATTAAAGAAGGATTAGATCGCGCTGTAAAGTGTAAAAACAATCGTCAGGCCACTGGCACTCTCTGCAGGTATGTGATATAATACAAAATGTGCATAAGTTATGATTATATTATTTCATTACATGATAAATGATTATTTGCTTTAGATATTTTATTTGAATAAATTATTATTGCCTCATTGCTATTATACGTGTGTTTTAAGTGATTTTAAAGTCTATTGTTCATAGGGTTGCAAAAAATGTAAAATTTCCAGTAAATTTTGGTAGTATTCCAGAAATTTTGGAAACTTTCCAGGATTTTTGGGAATATTCCAGGGAAAGTTTTCGGAAAGTTTCCACCTCTATGGAACCCTAATTGTTCGCTTAGGTATATTTTAATCACAAAAAATCAGAATACTCGATTAATCGTTAGAATAATCGACAGATTACTCGATTACCAAGATAATCGCTAGTGACAGCCCTAGTCATGAGTCCTGTGAATTCAAGCAACCCTTGTTTATACCATACCGAATTTCTTCTCTTTAACATCAGAGGTTTAAGAACTTCACAGAAATGTGGTATCGTTGAGGTTGATGCAGTTTGGAGGAAGTCGGAAATCTAACCGGTCCAATGCTAGTGCTACATTTATATAAAAAATATATAATTTCTTACCTAAAAAAAAAAAAACCTCTTCTCTTAAAGACTTGAGTGATAGCAAGAGGCCAAAACAGTTCAATCCTGGTCCAAACTCAGACAGCCCAGCAATGCCAAGAGCCAACAATGCAGAGAAATATCAAAGGTCTCATGAAAGAACTTGGGCCAAAATGGAAATAAAAATTTGCATCTGACAAGGAAGTGGCATCAAAATATTGAGAGGGAAAAAGAGAAACTACAAAAACAACAACAAAAAATGGGAATGTCAGGCTCTTTCTGGAATGCTGTTTTGAAATAAAACATGAGCTTCCTAATGTTTATAATATTTGGTCTAATTGCACTTAAGTCTTGATTTCATCCATCTGAAAATGTTCAGTAACTACAAAAAGTGAAACTGCAGCATTTTCTCTTGGCTAATGTGTAAACAGTGTCATCCTTGCCTGTCAGTTTCTCATAAGCCAAAAACCACCAACAAAACTGAATACTTCAAAACAACACAAACATTTTCCCTTCATTATTAAAAGAAAAAAAAAACAATAAAACACATCTGATTCCCATTAAAGAGTCAACGTAAATCGATTGAACTTATCTGTGCAATACAAGACCTGCAGTACAAGTTTTAAACATCACTCGTGGGTAATATTGCCAAGAAGAGAGACAGAACGCAATACTGTACAAGAGTTCACCAGTTACAAAAAAAACCCAAAGAAGAAACCATAAAAACTCTATTAACGAAGCTCTTTCCAGAGAAGAGCGGTTTCAAGATAAGTTCAACATCAGTCCTAACCAGGTGTGACGTGACAAGTTTCCAGTGAATTTGACCATCCAATCTGAAAGCAAACATGCATGTGACAATCTCACAACCTGTCAAAACCTATGGAATGAATTTGGACCAATGAGGTTTTAATAGTTGGCGGAGCTAGAGCACAATACCACAAAAATAAAAACTGACAGATGTGAAAAACAAAGCGTCCTGTTGCTTAGTGCTTTTTGCAGATGCAACCAACTGCAAATCAAGCATGACTTTTATCGCTTGTCTAATCGTTTCATACCTGGTTAGGACACAATGTAAGGCGCTAAGAGCCTTCTATAAAGAACAAAGCAGATCCTAAACTTCCTAATCAGTGGGTGTTTTAGAAAAGCCCCATTTCAATGTGTGATTTCATATTAGTCATCTCTGAAGATACTACTGGTCAGCAAGAAAAACTACCTAAAAGAAAGAGGTGTTGTTTTATGGGTAGTCGCATGCTTTGAATTGAACTCCTTTAGTAACTGTTAGAATGAGGCTCATCACAAACTAAAACTGCATCATCTCAGTAAATCAAGAGAAGTGCAGGATAAGGATAAAAAGGTGTCTCTGCACATAGAAAAATGTAAATACAAGGAATAATCTGTCTGGCACAGGATTTTAAAAAGAAAAGAAAAAGGAAACAAGAAAAATGTGTTCTGACAACTATTGCTTTGATTTTGATAAGTGAGCAGGGTCAGTCCACACCCAACAGCAGTGACTCTACACTTGTGTGTGCTAAACGCTTCCATGGGATGACTTCATTTAAACCTGCATGCTTCAGAGCAATCATCCGTTTCCACAGGAACAGGCCATTCGCAAACAGCTAGAACCTGTTCTGCATTTGGTCTCAGCTTCGCAAGCAGGGCTGATTTTGGCTGACACCACATGGTGTCTCCAGGAAAAGGGCACAACAATGTAGGATTAAATAAAAAATTAAAAAGTTAATAATAAGACTGAAGGATGCTTCCAACCATGAGGTACTATTTAGAGGGGGTTTTCCTAGGCCGGCCTTACTGGGAAATGATAACTCCAATGGGTCGAGGAGGAGAGATCACGACTGGAATGCAGATTCAGAACCACTGCTAAAAACCTCTGAGGAGTTGTTAAAGCAACTGTTAAGATGCGTGCTAGACTTCATCTGGAAATAGTTCCTGATAGTAGAAAAACTGTTGGATCAATTGATTGATGTGACGGCGCTGGGCAACTGTTCTCAAACTCCAGACTAGAAAGGATTCCTCAGCAGAAGCACCCTGAGAAGAGACAGGGAGAGGATGAGAGTGTAGGAAAGTGAGGACAAACACACCTCTAGAGAGAGACGCATTAAGAACTGTCCAAGTTTTAAGGACTTAGCCAATAAATGCCTGGCGGGGCAACAATGGAAAGTCAACATTTAGAGAGAAAGAGCCTGTCTTTGGGGGGGGTTGTTGAGCAATCTATCCTTTTTTGTCCTTTAAAATATATAATTATTATTACTGTAAAGGCTTGTCAAGACTCTATGGCTGTATCCCATTCTTATCCCTGGCCTTTTGAAATAAACATCTACTCGAGGAACTGCAAGATACCTTCACGCAAGTGATCACTGCCAAACATGATAGCTCACCCACACGAACACGCAGACGACGCAGGCTTTGGTACATGATTTACCGGATAAAGCTGCCCATGCAGATCATTGTGAACGCTGACTATGACCTGACACTAAAGTCTTCAGCTTGAGACCAGAACCGAAGAGAACTGGAGAAGGGGGCGGCAGGGGGAATCTTCCAATATGTGCAAAATCTCAAACATTCTGAGGCTACATTCTCTCTCCCTCTGACCACGCTCCCTCTTTCGCATCCGTTCGCCCGACTGACACTTCGCTCCCATGGACAATCTCTTTTGTCTGCTACTTCCCGGCGTTTGAGCGCCCCTCAATGGATAGCTTGACCTCTTGAGGGATAAACGATGGCCGAGAGGTGCCAGAGGTGGCAGCTGATGCTAAACTTCCCTCCTCATTCTTGATGCTGTATCTTTGGAAGCCAGGGGCAGACCAGCGCCTCTGGGACGCCCCTACAGAAGAAGCTCCCGCTGCGGCTCCCGGTGGAGCATGACCCTCAGGGTGCAAATAGTAGTTGCTCTGGCTCCGAGTGTGCTCTGCTGAAGTCCTGTTCGGTCTTTGGGGTGCGTCGATGTGTCGCAAACCCCCGACCTGCATGGGCTCTTCCTTGTCCCGGTCCCTCTCTCTGTGGATGCGCTCAATTTTTAATTGGCTTTGTGGCCGAGGGGTGTGTTGGGGCGCAGGGGGGCCCATGGGTTGAGGTGGGGCTCCTGACGTGGAGTTGACTTTGGTGGGAGTCCGGGCCTGCACTTGCTGCGCCGGTTTCTGCTGCGACGCAGCTTGCTGCTGCAATGTCACGGACACGCAGACGTCGCCCACTTGCAGATGGTGGCAGGTGAGACCATACAGTTGGGCAGTCCGCTCAGGGCTACAGGATGACCAGCCCTGTCCAAAAACGAAAAAGGGGTGTTCGGGGGGAACATCTATAGTCACTTTGCTCTGTTGCTCCCCTACATTGAAATGCAGCGCCACTAGACCGAGCCGCTGTTGACTAGCGCGGATGTCCACCACCATGCTTGAGTCGATCTTCAGCCCCCCGCTTACTTCTGCACTCCGCACAAAGTCCTGAGTCTGCAGATCTTCTACACGCTTGAGCTCTCCGGTAGCCAACTGTATGATGGCGCCCTTCATGAAGTGCGATGGGCCGGAGGGTGCTAGCAAAGGAGCCTGTGGGAAAGTACCAGGAGCTGGAAGATGCTGGGAGGGCTGCTGCCCCTGTTGGGGAGGCAGCTCCACCACTGCACGCTCTGGGAGACAGGCTGCTGCATCCATGGCTTTTGTATATGTAGCAGGAGCCCCATCGTTAGATTGGAAATGCTGCTGCTGCTGCTGTTGGTGGTGATGGTAGTCCAGGGGCACTAGAACAGGCTGCCCATTGGCCAAGATAACGGCATGTCCTTGTTGAAGGAACTGCTGCTGCTGTGCTCTAGATTCAGCAGGATTTGATGCATAAGGTGTTCTGACTTCGCCCTGAGTCTCTCGACCCCTCTGAAAGCTTTGAGACAGGTTGAGAGGGACATGTGCTGCTTCCTTGCGACTCATGCCGTGGACAGGAGAGGCAAGTCGTCCAACCACCTGCTGTACCTGAAATGGAATCAAATTTAAAGTGTCATTTTAATTTAGAATGTACATTTGGATGGAAGTTGCTTTTTAGAAAGCACCACAAACTGGAAAGTGACAAATTAAAGATGAGACTGGCCTCAGAACAGATTTTGCCATAAATCAAAAAACAATCTCTGTTGTTTCTAAGTAGCAGCAGCCTGAGTTACTCAATCTTTAATACACCCAAAGAACAGCTAATAAAGGAAGGAAGTGGTGTAACTGGTGCTGACTCACAAGAATTGCCTCAAAAAGACAAAACTCTAGTAGTAGTGTAATAGTGATGAAGCAGGAGACATTTACTACAACAGTAGTCTATGGAGATCCAGATGTAAAAAAAAGTAATATTACAAAGTTTGTGGAAAAATCTGACATTGTAAAGCTACTGAGAGAGTAGGTGTACTCCTAGTTAAGCTTACTGATTGGATGGATGATGTAACTGTTATTGGCAGCTGGATAACGGTTGTCTTAATTAAAAAACCCAATTTCCAACTTCTGGGTCGTTGCAATAACAGCATCATAAAGATTTAATTTTAAAATGATATGTACAGTGCAGTGTTGTTATTGTTATGTAAAACGTCAGTAATTTAAATAGTTGTCTTGGCAACTAACTGATATAAATCAAGTTTAGGTTAAAGAATTAAAATTAATAAAACTAAAACTCAAATAAAATAATGAAAGGATAAATAGAAATAAACTAACAAAATTACTAGAACCTAAATAAAATTAGACTATAAAAATGAAAGCGAATATAAAATATTTTTATATACCATAATAGTATATAATACAAAAATTACACTGGTGCAGCTGGATCCAAAATTCTAAAACCACACCTGAGAAAATTTGAGGTTCACATCTAAATCTAAAAATAAACAACATCACAGGACTTTCCATTTCCCCCAGCAAAGACATTAATTCTTATATCATTTAAAAATTACAATATAAAAGTGTAAATGTTTTGTTATTCATTTAATTGGGTTCGCTTCATCTAGATACATGAATTAGACAAAGATCTGATCTCAGCATAGGTCACATTTATGCAGAATATTGCTAAAACTGGTTGTAATGCAAAATGAATAATACTGCAAAAAATGCTAAAGGTAAACATTTTCACTACAGTACATTGTGTCCTATGTCAATAGTCCTGTGTGTGGAAAATTAAATCAACATGAAATCAAAACATCATCCTATTTACTTAAAGCACTTTCCTGGTGATATTGTAATAACTTGCCCTTCCTCTGAAATGACTTCCCCTTTTCTAATAGTTTTTAGGCTTTGTTTTAGCAAACTATCTGCCCCTCACCTCAAGATCAGTGTCTGGTGTGCTCCTCTGTCCTGGCGACATTCTGCCTTCCGGCCTGCGGTTTTTTAAGCTCTTGTCTTGCTGGGGCTCGGATGCAGATGCCTGCAGCAGCCGTGCACTTCTGGCTGAATAAACTGCATCTTGATGGCTCTCCCTGCCTCCGTGTTCTCTGTCCCCTCCATTCACCTCCCTCTCCTGCTCCATGGAGCTGCTGTGCAGGTCTCTTTGCAGTTGGACGCCCCTGACAGCAGGGTGGTAGTACACGGCTCTCGGGCTGAGCTCCCCAGCAGGCAGCATCCCTACAGTCCCAAGCTGCGCTTGTGTCACCGTTTGATCAGAAGGGAGCACCAGAGGAACTCCCATTTTGGTGTATGCATGGGTCGAGACCTGCTGCTGCGGAGAGGCAACTCCTTCCTGAATGACTGATGGATACGGAATCAGGTGGGAAACTGAGTTCGGCTGGGAAATAGCGGACTGGGGTGGTATCAAAGGGCTGGGAACGAATCCCGGAGGCACGGCGTAGGGAACCGCAGCTGCGTACGGAGAGCTAACATACTGCAACGAGGAGTGAGGGATCTGGGCGTAACAGAGAGGAGGGTAGGGAACGCTCGTGTGCTGTAACACCTGGGAGGGAACGGTGTAGGCAGGAGAAATGTGGCTAAGAATGGGGTGCAGATTGGTGGTTGAGTAGGTGCCAGTGGGCAGAGCTACTTTATAAAGCATGCTAAACTGATCCACAGGAAGCCCAACGAGACCCTCGCCACCATCCATCCCATAATGCACGCTCGGCTGGGCTCGCACCCATTCGCCACTACCTTCTCCACTCGCTCCAGAGCTTTGTGAAGATGGGGCATCCTCACCTCCTCCTCCTGCACTCCCAATGCTGCCGCTGCCTCCCGCTCCGCCGCTGATGCTACTGCTGTTATTGTTGTTGATAGAGGTGTTGTTGTTGTTGTTGTTAAGAGGGAGGTCCCGCTTCTTGGGAGGGAGGCACTCCTGGTTGCGCTCGTGGACTGGCTTCATGGTGATTCGGGATGAGAATGGGCGCTGTTACTGAACAGAAGAGGAGACAAAGCCTGGCAACCGCGGAAATAGCACCACTGGAATCAGCTCTGAAACCCTCCTGCTGGCCTCTTCCATCACCTTACCTAAATGCATAAAGAAATCATGTATAAACTAAATATTTTTAAACGACTGGTGTATAGGCTAGTGCTCAACATGTTGGCAAGGCCAAGAAAACAGCTGGTTTTGAGGTTGTCACATTGCTTCCTTTCAAACTCTGCAAACAGCCTCGTCACATATATATTGCACTTTTTCTATACATTTCAAATATTTTTGGTCAATTTTGAGTAAATAGTGTAAAATAGGTGGCATATTAATTACAGAAATTCTGCAGCAATTAATTTTTAGTAGGGATGTAACGATTCACTCAACTCACGATTCGATTCACGATTTTGATTTCATGATCAAGAAATCTCTTCATATAAACAAATTTAGTCTTTGTCTGTGCTCTTTACATTTAAAATTAGAGGCAACCAAATTACATTACAAATTAGATTGTATAATTTCGAAATTTTAAGCAAAAACAGAATGGTTTGACTTTTTTTTGTGAAACTATGCATAAAAAAATATCTGCATGAAACAAACAGCGGACGAGCTGAACGAGACGCAGATTCACTCCCTGCCAGCAGGTGGCACTTAAAGTGCTTTCTTGGTTTCCGCTGTAAACAAAGCAGCGCTGCACTTATGAACTTTAATATGCATTATACAGAGGCAAGATGAAAAGAAAAAATACCATCTAAACTTTTCTAAAGACAGTAAGTTCCCCTCAGACATGCATTCATATAAACTCCCCTATATACCCCTAAATGAATCGCGATTTGTTTAGTATCTCAACTGATTTGAATCGTCACATATTTAAATCTATTTCCAACCGCGGTTAATCGTTACATCCCTAATTTTTAGTAAATATAGTGTAATTTATAATAATTTAGTTTGCATTTCACATTTTTAAAAGACAAATCTGACAATTTTCAACCAGATTTGTTTTGCAATGTCGGTAGTATCTGTGAATAATGAACACTGTAATCTTTCTCTATGTTACCTGCACCCAGATATTGCTGTTTAATTGTTAGTCTGATTTATTAGAGTTCGATTCAATTCAGATTATCTGGACAATATACACTTATAACCCAAATTTGCCATTTATTTTGCACATTAAAAATAAACATTAGAAATAAAAAAAAAACTTAGAAAATTAGAAATGCTGCCTTGACAGCTGAAATAGATCAGTTTACAATGAAGTACTAAAATAACTAAACCTGAAAAAAAAAAAAAACTGTTAAACAGCAATATTTAACACACACACACACACACACACACACACACAAACTAACAAAAACTGCACATAAACTTAAACTAAAATTAAAATCAGCAAAAGTCTAATGAGTGACATCTCAGTCTAAATCCAAGTCTAAATCCAACATCACAACATTACGAAGCTGGTTAAAAATGGTCAAACTTGTCGTTTGAAAAACACATTGACAACACATTTTTTATTGAGGTATGACTGTGTGTCATTTATACTACGGAGCAAAATGTGGAAGTCTTTGAGTAATGTTAACCACAGCCCTTTTTTCTCGTAAATCAAAAGCCACTTTTCTAAAAACCCATTGGAAACTACCCAGGAAATCCACAAATGTGCCTTCCAGTTTGGCCTAAATACACCGCCCTATATCAATACTAGAAAACAAGATAAATAAACTACAAAATAAAATCTTCATGACAAACAGCATTAAACTTCATGAATGCAGTTAAATGGGAATTGTCAACTTCTATTTTTAGATAATCATACAAAATTTTAAATTTTCATCATATTTTACTTTATCACTAATTGTATGCCCCGACTCGAGTAAATCAACTATAATATACTATAACCTTTTAAGATTTTAAAGCGTATTATATAAAATAATACAATTTAACCTTGTATCTCAGAAGAAAAAAAACAAGAGCAGCAACAGTCATAACAGTAAATAGAATTATACCTAAAAGATAAAGCACTCGAAATACATTAATTCCAGGTTAACTGTATCGTGCCCACGATGCTTCTGTGATTCATACATGGCAGATTTAATAAAGAGAAAGAAAATGCTCATTCAAGCGCAGAAACAGAAGCGTGAGCCATTTCTGTCCATGTTCTCTTAAAGAAGCAGACACTAGTTCTCATGTACTGTGGTCCACATGTTTGCCAGATCAGAAAATATTAAATAACCAAAATTGAGAGCCACAATGCCCTGTATATTAAAAACAGCAAATTTGTCATTTTTGTGTATTATTTAAAATTTGGTATATTCAAACCTAAGCATATCCACATTTTTGGTATATTTCAATCTAAAATTTGATATATTTCAATCTAAAATTTGGTATATTTCAATCTAAGCATATCTAAAAATGTTATATATTTCAAACTAAGCATATCTACATTTTGGTATATTTCAATCTAAGCATATCTAAAAATTTTATATATTTCAATCTAAGCATTTTGGTATATTTCAATCTAAATTTTGGCATATTTCAATCTAAAATTTGGTATATTTCAATATAAGCATATCTAAATTTTGGCATATTTAAATCTAAAATTTGGCATATTTCAATCTGAAATTTGGTATATTTCAATCTGAAATTTGGTATATTTCAATCTAAGCATATCTAAAAATTGTATATATTTCAATCTAAGCATTTTGGTATATTTCAATCTGAAATTTGGTATATTTCAATCTGAAATTTGGTATATTTCAATCT